TTCCCTACTCTCCCCAGCCTCACACCGTGGCGGGATCCCTGGGGAGCCGATTCCCGCCCTCCACAGCAGCATCCCAGCGGGGACCCTCATTTCCCCCAATGGCGCATCGCCGGGGACTGGCCCTTCCTGGCCCTCTCCCACAGCACTGTCCCCATAGGGACCCACCTTTCACTTCCCTGACAGCGCAGTACCTGAGATCCCTTCTCACCCCAGAGCGGCATGCCTGAAGCCCCTTTCCTGCTCCGGCGTAGGCCCCACCGCCTCGGCTCTCCCAGGATGGCTCCCCGCGGGAGGAAGCGCGGAGCCCAGCAGCCGCCGGCGGCCGAGGCACCGGAGACAGCGGAAGCCCCGCAGAAGCGGCCGCGGGCCCAGGCCAAAGACGAGGGCAGCCCCGGGGACATCGGCCCCCGTGTCGTCATCGAGCACTGGTGAGCAGCCGAGGTGCCGGGGGCGGTGTGAGGTCGCCGGTGTCCCCCGGGTCGCTGACCGCCGTGTCCCCACAGCAAGAGCTGACGCGTGTTCGGGCGCAACGCGGCGGCGGTGAGCGCGGCCCTGCGCGGGGCCATGGCCCAACTCCCCGTGGACATCAACCCCCGGCCGCCGCGCAGGAACAGCTTCGAGGTGTCCCTGGTGAAGGAGGACGGCAGCAGTAAGTGCTGGGCCGGGGGACGGTGGGGCCTCCCCGGCACCCCTGATCCCATAATCCCCCTTATCTCTGCAGCCGTGGAGCTGTGGAGCGGTATTGGGAAGGGACCTCCCCGCAAGCTGAAGTTCCCCCAGCCGGAGACCGTAGTGGAAGCCTTGAAAAGCAGCTTGGCGTAGAGGCATTGGCCAGGTGAGCGGGGATGGGACTGGGATGGGACAGGGATGGGACCAACAGGGACCAACTTCCGTCTCTTCACAGCCAAGCCAGGACCAGCGCATGTGGCACGAGCGTCCATGAAGAGGCGGGACCAAGTGGGGGGCACCTGCCAGCCCCAGTCCCGTTCCTGATGCTGCAGCTCTGTCACTGCCAGACCCCTGGCTCCCTCCACACCCCGTTGTTCCCCCAATCTCCAATAAAGTTTAGTACTCCACAGCACAGCTCCAGCCCTTTATTCCAAGGACACACAGCCCAAGGGGTGCAGGCAATGGGGTGAGAGGGAGAGCCAGACCCCCTAGGTGAGGACATCCACCTCCTCTTCTGACTCAGACGAGGGACAGGGCCAGAGGCAGACTGTGCCAGGGGGCAGGAACAGCTCCCCTGTCCCCACATCCACCTCCTCCTCAGTGTCACCTCCAGGGGTCCCTGAGGGTACTGCCTGCTGGCAGCCCTGTTGGGACACAGGGGAGTCTCCATGCTGCTGCATCCCATCACTGCGGGGCTGCTGGGGTGGACAGCACTCGCTCGCCTGCTCCTGTGTATCCACATTCTGGGGGGGTTGTGCTTCTGTCACCCCCACATCACCCAGCAGCACTGGGGGAGACTGCACCTCCTGCACCACCTCCCAGCACCCCCAGCTCTCCACCTTCCGCAGCCTCATCCGCCCTATGGGGCTGGGCTGTGTGTGCCCCAGAGAGTGTGGCTGCCTCTGGGGGGGCACCTGAGAGCTGGCACTGCCAGGCTCAGCTGTGTCAGGTGCCACCATGGTGGAGGCTTCCTGAGTGGAATGCAGGCAGGAGCGGTCGAGCTGCCGCTGGGGTCCCAGTCTCACCAGGCGTCCTCCCCAGAGCTGCAGCGACTCGAGCTCGGTGACACGGAGGCGGCGGGCGGCTGCCAGCACCTCGTGCACCTCCTCCTGCGTGACCTCCAGCTCGGCAGTGTAGAAGAAGCGCACCAGCTTGCGCAGCACTCCAATCTTCAGCCCCGCCAGCTCCAGCACCACCCTGCAACCCTGGGGGGGCAGCTCCCGGCCTAGCTGCTCCATGAAGAAGGGGCTGCAGACGGAGAGAACACTGCAGTGGGCCACCACTGCCTCACCTGCAAAGCAACAGTGGCTGTCACTGCCCTGCAGCCCCTCCTGCTCACCCCAGTCCTTCCTAGGAGGTTGCGGAGACCCTCCCCGCAGCTCCCCAGGTGCGCTGGCCCCTCCCTCGGCAATGCTGCCCGCTCACCTTCAGCCCACAGGACCACATCGCAGAAGACGTCGGCTCGCTGCTGCTGCTGGTGGAGGTGCTGGAAGGCCGTGCGCAGCAGGCGGGTGCTGCGGTACAGCAGCTGCGGGGTGGCTGTGGGAGAACCCATGGGCGTCCTGCAGGGACAGACAGCGTCGTGCTGGGGACTCGGGGACCAGCGCCTGCCTGTCCTCTTCGGGCTGTCCCAAACGGTTGGGGGCCGGGATGAGGCGGGATCGATGTGTGCAGAGCCCCGTTT